TTTTTAATTATTTTCTTGAAGCACATTTTACACCATAGGGCCATCCTCAATTAACTTCTGAATGGTTTCAGTTGACTTGCGCTCGACTCGTGTTTTTAATTCTGCTTCTCCGACCGAGGGCAGAGCAAACAACTAAAGCTCAAGCAAAATGCCCAAGGTAGAAAAAATAATCTATTGTTTTAAGCTATCAAATAATTAACGTATTTTATCCGAATACTAGTTAAGAGCTTTGCTCTCGGCATATTTCGCGTGGCAACCTCGTCCAAGTATTTGATCAAATATTTATTTTATTTTATTTTTCAACTATGGTTTGAATCATTGGATTTTTGTAAAATATTGATTTTTATTTTTTTTTTCGTCTCAAAATTCAGTTTTTTAATTTATTATTCCTCTAATTTCTGTTTCAACATCTTTAACAATTAGGAGTTTCCACGTGACTAATCAATTTTTTAAGGAGAACACTAATTTTCTACCGCCTGTCCAAATAATTAATAAATCAGAATTACGTATTTTTATTAAATAAAAAGGAAAGTGACAAGTAAAATAAGATATGCATATTCGTTGTGTATCGCAGGTAGGGAGAAGGAGGGGTAGGAAAGTGGGTGGAATAGGCTATAGTAGGTATATAACACACTAATCAGGTCTCGATCCCATGTTATTATATATTTGATTTTTCTTTACAGCAAAGAGCCAGACAAGATTACTGCAAAAAACGATTATTTTTTACTAATTGGTCTTGATTCACATTTGAAATTATGACATCAAATTTTATTCGTTATTTATTGTTAACAGTAAAATTAATTATTGTATTTGGCATTTTATCAGTTTTGCATTTGCGAGGACTAAAAAAGTTAAAGTGACTAAATATCTGAATAAAAAAAAAAAAATGAACATTCTCATTGAATTTGGAGTAAAAGTTAGGTTGAAGCAGATAATAACCGTCTTTTACGTTTAAATATTTAATTTGAAAAACTTTGATTCACAAAAATTGTAATATGATTTTCGAATAGAAAATAAACTTAGCGATAGCTCATTCTATCAATTACTTTTTTGAGTACCATAAAATTGTGATGCATTGAACAATTAATAGTTAACAAATGTTTGTTTTTCATTCCCTTACAGTAGAATACTTATTACAGAAAAATTAGAAGGAAAGTATTTACAAAACTTTGTTTAGCGTTACGCAGTGAAATTAGACCAGAAAAGAAGTTAAAGCAACGGTAAAACTGAGACGTTGTAGCAGTCACAATTATTTTAAAACAGCTCATCAAAAAATCAAAATATACTTTAAGTATCAATGAAACTTGCAGGAATCACACTTGAACGTATCAACTGAATCATCTCAAAAAATTTCAAACTATATTGCCAGGAAATTTTTCAAAATATATTACTTGAAAATGTTATGTTTAACGTAATCTCTTATAGGAGGCCATTCAATCTTGATAACATTTGATGCAATATCTTCCAAATTATACTTATAACTATCATCATAAAACCATTATTAAAATCAAAACCACGTGATGTTAGCTTGAACCAATCACACAACAAATAAAAGGATTATTCATTAAAGATTATTCTCCTTTGTAGGATCGAATGAGCAGCTGGAAAATGAAAACGATTTCAGTTTTCATACGGCTGGTACAGTAAGAAAATACTAAAAAAACTTAACTGTTACTTTTGTCACCCTAAATAAATAAAAATAATTAAAAATAAGCTCATTCAAATCTTTATTTTGGAAAAATTTTTAATGGTAAATTAAAAAGTAGAGAATAATGTTTTATCTGATGCATGATAAACATTAGCTGCATTTTTTAATGGTGTAATTTGTGGTAAACGAGTATTACGATTACTCCTGTCTTTTTTAACCGTGCGTACGGTGGACAACCTTTTCTCTACGTTTTAGTTCGTTAAAGTGCCTTCGTCGTTCTCAACCTGAATGCTGACATGATATAAAAAAATGACTAAATCATGACTTACGTGAGCAAAAAGTATAACCGTTTTCATATGAGTTAAAAAATTTTTTTTTTGATGATTTAATAAAAATTAGTACTATTACATTAGTTTCTAGCCACTATTGTAAATTATCGCTTTTTAAACCAAAATAATCACATTTCAGATATAACTGTATATTTTTAAACGTAAAACAGGATCTACAATTTTTCTCGATCACACGTAAATGTAAAACATAAGTTGCAACAAAAGAACTGATTTTTCAAATATTAAAATATTTTCTTTAATTTCAAGAGCATTAAACAAGACTTCAAAAATACATAAAAATATGGAAAGCTTGTATTTTTTAAAGATCTCCAATTTTAATATTCATAATTGTGTGGTGTTATGTCGACTTTTTACTGCAATCGGCTAAAACCTAATTTTTATTGTTCTATTTTTAATGAATTTGAATGAAAGGGTACGATACAAAAAAGTTGCATTTCAATGAGATCTACATTTTTTCGATCATGTATACACCTGTAATAAAAACTCAAGGATGGAACAAAAAAAATTTGTTTTCAAATTTTTTACTGTTTTCTCCAAGACGGTCTTTAAAAAATTAATGAAAACGTTAGAAACATTTCTTTGAGATCCACAACTTTCTTGTAGAAAGTCTTTTTGACTATAAGAGTATGAAAATATCTTTTTTTGGTTCTACAGAAGTGGTCAAGAGTTTTTTTAAAGATAACTATGTTTTTGGTTGGCTATGTATATGGACCTAAAGTATCCATTTAAGAAGTTACACGTAAAAAACAGATTTTTATTATTCAGAGTTATACCATATTGGGGCTGGTAATATTTTTCCTTCGACAAAATTTGCTAAATTTGAAACTATAAGGTTGTGGTATGAAAATAAAGCTACAAAGCAAATTTGAGATTTGATGTAAACTTCTGGAGGTAATCGATTTACATGTCTTCATAAGCGGTGGTAAGACTATTTGCTCTGGCAAAAAATCAGAAGGCACTTGTGTAAAGCAATCATATTTAATATAGTACGTGGGTCTAAAAATTTTTTCTTTATGTTTAAAATTTTTTAGTTTTTTTCATATTAAAATAATATGTTGAAATTTTTTTTTCATCCCAGAAAAGTTAGCTATTTTCTTATTGAAAAAATTGAATACAAAGTTGAAAAATTTTTTCAATATAGTTTTTACTATAACTTTCTCTCTAAAGTTGAATTAGTCAAATTTTACCGTGAATCAGTAAAATGTCGTTTATTTATCACAATAACTAAACGACTTTTCACTCATAATTAGTCAATATTGACTAATTTGATTGATCTAACTGTAGAGAGTTCATCTCTAACATTTTAAACCTACGTGCTATCGTAAAATAAAAAAATTTTGTTGAAACAAAATTGGTTTTCTACATATTTTTGTCTCTGATGTGAACCTTGTTGTAATAAATAACAACATGAAAATGATGATGATTACAATAATACTACGAGCTAACAATAGTGATAATGTTATAATTAGATCTTGATTTTAATGAAGTTATGTGATATTGTTTAATGGAACAGTTAAAAAAAAAGTATGACTTGGAACTGTGAACTGCGAAATGTGGAGCAAACTCGGCTATTGTTGCATATCGTATGTATTCAAGGTGGGAGAAGCAGGTGGGGCTTGGGTTAAAAATTTTAAGGAGCTCTACCACTCATGATCGCTCGGTCAGAGTAAATTTAATTCTCTCGAGTCCTCCGGCTTCTCCTGAATCCTCTTCGTGAACCTCTTGTTCCTTTCTAGTTCTTAAAAAATAAATTTTCTGAAGTTAAATCCTCTCACCAGTTCTCTCCAATCCCCTTGGAGCCTCTTTATACAAACTTTCGGTGAAGGGATCGGAGTGGTCAGTCCCTCGATATGTATACGTGATATAATATGTATAGTATACGAAATTTCCAATCCTCTTGTATTTCCATGTTTCGTATTTAAATAGAAAATCTGCTTTCGTATTTTGTATAGAACTGAATGTAGGAGGTACTATTCTAAAATACATTATTTCATGTTTCGTAAGCTTCTATTTTCTTATTTATGTAATATGGCGGATGAAATGAATAATAAGATGTATTAATGCAAAAATTATATTCACATAAAAGTCGACTCTATTTTTTTCAAGCAATAAAATCATGTGTATAAAAGTTCCACGATACAAGTATAATTGAGTAAATTTTTCTTAATTTCTCAAAATGAGATGCTTTCTCTAATCTTATTATTAAAATGACTAAAGGTGAATCTTAGCCGGCAAAAGTAAAATAATTTTGTTTTTTTAGGCATATGGAATTGTGTGGAAGGCAATAGATAAGCGTTCGAAGGAGACGGTAGCCGTGAAAAAAATTTTTGATGCTTTCAAAAATCAAACGGATGCTCAACGTACATTTCGCGAAATCGTTTTTTTGCTGTCATTCATAAACCACGAAAATATTATCAAACTGATTGGATTACACAAAGCAAACAACGATCGAGATATTTATCTCATCTTCGAGTACATGGGTGAGTTTGTGCAACGGTAAGAATTTATTGTAAACAAAAACATCAGTTGAATCGATAATCTCCGATATAATAATCCTCAGTTTTCAAATAATACTTTTGCATAAAAGTAGGTCACACTTTGTCTTAAATTTTAATTCCACGAAACATCCATTTCAGAAACTGATCTTCACAATGTGATAAAGCGAGGCACCATACTGAAGGACATCCATAAAGTCTTTATAATGTATCAACTTTTCAAAGCTATCAAATACATTCACTCTGGAAGCGTTATCCACAGGGATTTAAAGGTAGAACTTTCGTCTATAAGAATGTGATAAAAAAAATTTTTTAAAGCAAGTTTAATATCATTAATTACGTTACGATACCGTTAGATGTTGCTTGTCCATCAGAATGTGAGAAAATTTTTTTATTAAAGCGACTCTTGATTTTCTGTGTAAAAATTGTATAAAAAAAAGACTACGTTCACGTTTTTTATACCATTATTTTCTTCATGTAGCGTAGAGGTTTAAATTATTACTGCGTGCAACTTTGAAATTCTGCTGTTTTTCGTTATCTGCGTTCTTTTAAAACTTCACATGATAACTGCATCTTCTCGTCGTCATTCGCATTTTATGATGATTAGAAAACCGATATTTAAATCAAATATTTGTATCGCTTCGATCACCACACATACGTGTAGTCGTACCCAATACTCTATGGAAGAAATTCCTGGGATTATACCATGCCTTTAAACTCATAACAAACTCACTTGCATATCAACGTATATTAACCTTGTATACAATTATTTCACATATATACTCATCGTGTAATTCTCAATAGTGATGCTGTTCGCAACACTTTTACGAGAAAAGAATGAACTCGACAATGTTTATGAAAGATACTTTTTATTTCAAACTTCATCATATCATCGATTTACACTTAATTGTACGGAATGTAGTAGAAAAATGGCGCTCTTTTAAAACAAAAAAAAAAGACCTTTTGCTGCGAAGAAAAACAGTATTTGTTACACGTAAAAAATCTACATGCTATCGACAGTTCATACTATATTTATATACCAACATGTATATTTTGTCCATAGAATAATAATAAAAACTTTGATGAAACTAACTCTCCGGTGTTGTTGTAAGAAAAAAAAAGACCTTGTTTATTTAGCCATTGGCGACACACGTGCCGCACAACATTCAACGTACATGCAACAGCGTCGATATTATTATTGTACCCCGATCGCAACAAATTGGTCCTACCTATACTTATAGAAAACATACACGTACATATATGTACAGCGAAAGAAAAAAAAAAAAAAAAAGATACGGAGGTAACCGCACTTTAGTTCAACGTTGATTTTGCAGGTCTCTCCACAAAACGGCGACTCTCGCCACGAGGACATATTTTAATTCCGTGCGAGTGTCCGTAGGCCACAATTTATACATCATGTACAAACAACACAGGTGGTCGTTGTTTACTTGTTCTTCGACAACTGCCGCCTAATGTACCGAGCGACGATCTCCTGGGGCCTCTTTTCCCACTCGAGCAGCGTCTCCTTTGGCGTGGAAACCTAGAAATGACAATGCAAAAATCCTTGCAAAAGCTGTTTGGCCATACTTGGGGCAACAAGTGAGTATACCTGGTCCCCGTGGAGGCGATTGAGAAAAGTGACGCAGACTATGGCCGCCCTTATGTTGGCGAGGTGGGTGAACGCCGCGAAACCGGTGGCTTCCATCTCGATGTTGACGACCCCGGCGGCGTGGAGTCTCCTCAGGTAGGCCATCTTTTTCTCCTCGGTGTGGTAGCAAAAGGCCCCGTCCAACCTACCCTGGCCCTCGTAAAAGTCCATGGCGCACATCGTCCGGCCGTTCACGACCTTGTACTCGTCCTCGCCGGGCTTGTGCAGCGAGCTCAGCTCCTTGGCCAGCTCCTGGTCCAGCTCGGCCGGCCGCCGAACCTTCTCTCCGCACACCACCTAATAAAATTTTTTTTTTTTTTTTTTTTTTTTTTTTTCACCAAGTGTACATCGTAGGTGGGGCGTCGCCTACCTGCTCGTGGTAAGGGTTGATCAGCTCATCGACGGCGCCGAGGGATACGACGACGGAGCCGGGCTCGATGCCGATCCCGCCGCTCGTACCGATCCGGAAGTAGATCGGATCCCTCATTCGGGCGTAGTACGACAGCTTTATCACTTCGTGGAGCAGAATTTGCATCGACGACACTCCCATGCCGTGCTGTTGGCGATTCATCGTTGAATAAACAATCATTATAACAACAACAGGAATAATAATAATAATAATAACAATGATCGGCATTGGAATGCGTACGCTCACTGCGAGTATCGGTCCCACTTTGTACATGGAGTAGCGGTGGGAGTGCTCGAGCACCTGGTGGACCGTTGAGCCAGCCGGGAGCACGTCCCCGAGTTCCGATTCGCAGTACTTGGCGAACGTCTCCATCCGGTGGGGTGTACCGCCCATGCACACAAACTACGGAGCACGTGTTATATATTTGTTTTGATTTCTTTGACGCTTATCTACGTCTGTGTCATCTCGAGTGGGTCGATGCGATTCTTCGAGATAATTATAAGTGTTGAGGAGGGGAAACAACTTCCGTCACAGCGATTTCCTCGATCGGCCGGTCTTAGGTGTTTTTTTTTTTAAATTGTACTTAAAATGAAATTGCTGTGGCGCGAGGCGGGGGGAAAAAAAAGAAACGGTTGAGAGAACAAACCTTGACGTCACCGAACATTTTTACTAGGTCGTGAGTCTTGGTGCCGAGTCCCAGGTGGTACAGAATGTCACCGTTCAAGTTCTGAATGTGTGGATTTCTGAGGCACACCGTGCAACCTGCATCGCTGAAACCGATTACCATTTCCAATTTTACATTATAATGAAAATAGCCTCAAAAGTATTTAATACGGCATACCTTTGGTACTTAAATGTTTATGATAAAATAAGAAAATATGCAAATCTCTTACGAAATTATCAAACGGGATTTTACATCTTTATATATATATATCTCCATACCATAAACAATAATTTAGTGGTAGCTTTTGTACAGTAACAATAAAATAGGGTACAAGATTCAATCCTCAGCCACTGCAGTTTTTCCGTGCATTTATAATATAGGATCATACTAATTTTTGTATTTTTTCGTACGCTTCTGAAATTGTGGTGTTAATATGCTCTAATTTTTTTCATGTAAATCGATGCCGAAACAATTAATGGACACCAGTAAGCTACACTTGCTACGACCCCCTACATAGACCTGATGTAAGCACACACGCCTTGAATATCATCGGGATAATGAATTAAGATATTAACCCTACAGGCAACAACAGAAATACAATAAATCTATATACCTGGTGTTCTCGCTGGCAGCGTCGGTCCGCCGAGTCTCTTTGGCCCCTGACATGTCACACTTTTGGCACTCAAGTGATTGCAAGTAAGTATATAAACACCACAAGTACAATTTGCGTGTCAATATCTATGATAAAACACACGGGTGTACACGCGGCCGGTCAACACTGAAGGATGAACTAGTGCCTACTAAACTGCTCCCTTGTCTCTCTCCGATGTTGTGTAGCATGGTTACGTGCTTTCCCTCTCTTTCCTCTCGAGGGACAAATTCCGGATCCCCTCTCCCATTCTCCCACGCTATATGTAGATGCAGTACATATATCTTTCTATTCCTCTCGGGATATATCTATACCTTATACGAGAGCTGATAGTAAACTCGGCTCGTTCGCTGATGCAGCTTTACTATTCGTACTGATCGAGATGTGGCAAAAAGTGCACGTGTAGTAAGTGATATTTTTTTTATCGCTCCACGTTCGTCCCCTTACGTCACATATATCGTTGATGACTGGTATTTTTCTTTGAATGTTTCAATCACATATTTCGAAATGCATCGGATTAATGGACGGTGCGGTGATATATCTTGCCTATATAATGGCCATATGAGCTTGCGGGCCTATCAAAGCTTCGCGGCACCTTTGAATGTAAAATCGAGGAAATGGCGCTTACGCAAGGTAAACATGCAATAAGTGCGTAGGTATGGAAACTATATCCCAAGCACGGGTTTCTTTAATCAGTTTTTCGTCAAAAGGCGAGAAAACGCTGTGACTTTTGTAACTCGTGGTTTCAAAAATGGTCCCTGAAGCGACATAATTTTTTCAAGGTTTCGCGGTAAAGGTTTACAAACATCGATGTGTATTACGTCTATACATAGTCACTATAAATATAAATATTTGATGAATCGTTTCAAAATGTATTTCATGTTTAAAATTTTGTGTATTAATAATAGAGAAATGGCCATTTCCCACATTACGCGTAGGCATGAAAACTCACATTGAAGGTCAATAGAGATTTCGGGATGACATTGAGGGAACAAAAAAGTACACAATGTATTTTTGCGTAATGGTATAATATCATTTTTATTAATCGTTTATAATTTAACGTACCAATCAAAAACAGAGCTTTTTTTCTATACTGTATATATGGATCAGTAGTACAAGTAGGTATATCATATGTATACCTATGCCAACTGTGACCGGCACACTCTGGCTACATTTCTCCTTTTCCAACCTTTTTTTCTTTCTATCAGAATAATAGCCTTCAAAAATATGCATTTTTCTCTAATCATGTTACACTCTTTTTCAGCTAGTATGTTTTTGTATCGACTCCCTAAAAATCCATGTCAATTCGCCTGAACCTTTTTTTTAACGAACTTGTGGAATACATCAAGCATATATTTATATCGTTTTATCGACCGATAGAGGAACACTTAATTCTCTCGATTTAATATGTAATATAATTAGAATGCAATACGATAAAATGCGAATACTGTGTACAACTTTGATTAAAATTCTTTATTTTTTTTTCTCCATACTTCATAATATAACGCGTATAGATTTTCGTACTTTTTTCTCCAACGATAACGTGCTAACCGTCACGACACAATTTAAATTTCAACTGTTGAGCGTTTAGCCGATTCTCTCATCTCATACAAGTATATACGTTTTGTATAAAAAATTTTTGTAATTATAATGAAAGGGGCAGCGAGGTTTGGTCATTTTTTTGGTGTTTGATATAACGTTTGACATACAGTTAAATGAACATTTGTTAGCATTATTTTTGTATTATTTATTTAACGATTTTAAGTCCGAAGAAAAACAAGAGAATCTGCAAATTTTCTCGTACATGTAAATCCCAAAAATTCCATCAAAGCTTAGTTTGTTAAAGTTGTATTTACGTCAAAATTCACGCATACAATGTACATTTTTTGGTACAACGTTTGATTACAGCGATAACTTTAATGATCACAGATGCGTATCGTTGTACGAGCCCCACGGAGAAAAACCACGTTTCATCAATCATTTATCGTGTGCTACTTCGTCGTTGCAATTTGCTTCTTGAAAATTATAAACTGCGATAAAATTTTCATATCATTAAGGAAAAAAAAGTTTCTGCACAATTTTTTTATCAAACACATAATTAACACACCTGCCACTATACATATATAAATATATTTCTGTATACATGAAAAATTCCTTGTTACAGTTATAGGCTCTTGTAATTTTTCTTTGCAAATGCTTATGTTCTATTTGATTATTGCGTACGAACAAAGTTATTTATTAATTCCAAATACATCAAACTGCAACATCTATACACCAATTTTGACATTTTTGGCAATTCCTATACATCATTGATAAACAATACAAATTTTATCGTTACACATGCTAACAATTATACTTGATTTATAATGTAACGCGTGACACTGATCATTGCTTATTTTATTGTGCGTTAAAATACTATGAAACATTAGTGTAAGTGTGTATGTGTGTGGAGAAGCGAAAATTGAGTGAATTTAAAGTGAAAAAAGTAATATGGCAGTCAGGTTGGAAAAATCTGTCGGAAAATTGTTTTACAACGAGTACAGCAAGTCGACAGATGAGTGCAACGCAGGAACAATGTAATTTAGGAATTCAAAATGCCTCTAGAACACGTATTGTTTTATTAAAAAACTACGAACGTTCATCACATTATAACACGGCATCTACGTTAATTTTCACGCAGATTTTGGTGCTCGTTTTCGTTTGCGTGGTATTTTGTCTGAAAAAAAAAGCACCGCACACCGAGGTACTCTTTTGGCAATACTAGCGGGTGGCTTATTCGACGCGTACCAAATGCCGCTTTTACCTCGAAGAAAATGTTTTAACAACCGAGAATCAATACGAGTAGGTATATAGTCAGGAATATAGAAAAAATGTTTATCTCAATATACGTTTACAATCGTTATGTTGATATTCGTCTGATTATAATAATTAGTAAGTATGTTTATGCGACTGTGAAAAAAAACTGACGCTTCTTCGAAAGTCGAGTTGGATATGGTAATTTAACAAACACCTCCTTCATCTTCTTGGTCAAACAACAGACGATTTCAACGGCACTTTACATATTCTATTCAACAACTGATGCATGGAAAACAATTAATACTGCAATTCCTTTTTCTCGAGTTTTATTTTTCCCAACAACAGTAACAACAACAACAACAATAACACTTTGTCCACCAACAGTGCATAAGTTTCAATTGTTTCGTTACAGAAATCGAACATTTTTTAATTTTTTTTATTTGAAAGCACATCGTCTCTGTTGGAAATCCAAAGGTAAAACAACTGGCCTACATCAAAAGGGGATTTTCGCACTTAGTCGCTATACATTTAACTATATAAACGTGCAATCATCGAAATCTTAAAAACTACATCATTACCAACATTGATCAAAAAAATTAACATTCGAATTTCCTGCGCATGGCGGAAATCTACAACTTTTATTATTTTTATTATTAAACGGTAAAAAAATATACATGCATGGAAACATCTACAAAAATCCTACATTTACTCCGACGAACCAAGTGGTTACGATCGTCAGGATGAATCGTGATAAAATATCATCATCGTCATCGGAAAGTTAAATTTTGTACCGGACCAACTATATTGTCTATCGAGGAAAGACCAAAAGGTATAAATACTTGCCTAATACACCAGAGCAACTACTCTTTCGAATACCCGCAATTATCAATCACTTCCGTCCTCCAAAACCAAAAATTCAGTACAGGTGTGTATACCAACTCTCCTATACATGCACGTACACATTCCACGTGAAGTATATAAATATATTATCCCCACTGCCAGGCATGTGCGAGAAAACACTGTTTCCCGTCCGTCCGATGAATTAATGTGGATCTCTGGCGTAGGCATCTACGCTACACAGTACTAGCGTGCATCTAAAATGCCAGATGATATGTCATATACCCATCGAGGGTTCCATTTATTTATTATTATTGTTTTTGTATTTCAGCGTGTGGGTGCAGGTGTGGCGTGAAAATTGTCTGACACTGTACCTATGGTGATAAACAAATCGGCAGGTGTAACGGGTATACCTTACAAGACATAATCAACCCCCCC